ACACACGGTTCATCAGTAACACACAGATACACATCAGACACACACACACACACACACACTCACACACACACACATGGCTTACGTCTCGTGGGTGCCGAAGAAGAAGATGGGGTATTTATTAGCTGGTGGTTTCACGGCTCCTTCCGGTAGCTCATCAATCTAGAACACACACACACACACACACACACACACACACACACACACACACAGATGATCATCATCGTGTGGAACAGCATCACTCTGACCACACACACACACACACACACCTGACCCCTGTTTAATGTAGGAACACACACAGATCTCGGGTCCAGAATGTCGGAACAGCTGATCTGGGAACAGCGGCGGGTTTAGACAAAGCGGAAGGGAAGCTGCGGAGGCCCGGTTCCGCCGCGGCCCTGATGAGGACACACACACACACACACACACATATACACACACACCCTCACGACACCGCCGAACCGGAGCGTTAGAACACAAACACACCGCTCCTCCATAATAACGCAAAGGCCCGGTCGAGCCGATGGTTTCACAGCATCGACTAAACCGTCCGCGGCCCGGGGCTCTCCGCTTCTCTCCGGTACCGGTGCTGTGGCGCAGATGAGCCTCCGGAGCTCCGCGGTGTGTGTGTGCTCCGCTGCCCGGCCTGCCCGCGCCGCGCTCGGCTGCTGCTCTCACTCACCCGCGCCGGCCAGTGCGGGTATCCCTTCATCTTGGCGAACACCAGATCTCCCGCCTTATATTCCCGGGGCCGAGGGCGAGCCATGCCGACACACACGCGCTCCTCTGTGGGGAGGAAAACTGCAGCTGATCCGCGGCTCTGGAGCTCGGCGGCGGAGGATCCACCATCAATGTTTTGATCGCCGTTAATAAGGAAATAAATAATGAAAGAGGAGAAAGGGCCGAGAAACACCTCTCCCTCTCCCTCTCGCGATCCTCCGAGCTCTGACCGACAGCGAGCTACTCCAGCGCTGATCACCGACTGAATGATCACGGTTAATTATTACAGCTATTCCCTTTCATTTTACACAGCGTGTTGAAGTCCAGATGCGTTTAATGCGCTGGTATTAACATTATATATTATTATTATTATTATTATTATTATAACTATTATTATTATTTTAATAGTGTAACTGAAGGCAATCAGGAGATCAACACAGATGAGGACAGAATCTCCTGTTTACCATATTTAGGCTATTAAAAGCCGAGTTTAGACAGATGTTATGAACAACAGTGTGTGTGTCTCTCTCTCTCTTTGTGTGTGTGTGTGTGTGTGTGTGTGTGTGTGTGTGTTGTGTTTCAGAAATAACTAAAGGCCAAAAATTAGGGAAACTGTAAAAACACAAAGCCCAGATCTGTACTCAAATCGATAACAGAAACAGCGGAGTATACGGCTAAATATTAATTTAGGAAATACATGAATGTAAATAAGTTAAATTAGGTTAATAGTTTAATATATTTGCTGTGTTTTGCTAAAGTACAGAACAGCTTCAGGCCTGTTAGGAACAAAGACAGCTCAACAGTATGAGCAGATCAACAGTGGAACTGTGTTTGACCCGATGACACTCGCTGTGTGCTGCTGTATGGGTTAAACACAATCAGAAATGGGAAAAGCAGAATTAAAAGACATGTTATGATCAGATGTAGGAAAACAGCAGATCAAAAACCTTACATAAGAAGAACTTAATCAGAACTTAACAAGTGCACAATGTACCTCTGATGTCCTGGATGCAGACGCACATCAGTGTCTGATTTATAGCTCATTCTACATATAGATGTGGAGATAATGATTAAACTCTGCTTCATTAAAGTCAGTGAAAGGCCAACAAAGCCGTGTTGTCTGTAAACCGTGATGTTCCTGCAGAATATCAGCTCAAAGGCTGAGGAACGGCTAATGAATGTTCAGTATAAAGCTGCGCTCACAGAGTTTGAGCGTGTGAAATCCTGTCGTACGGCGCTGTGGAAATGGGCGGGATTAAACGATGATTACACATTTTAAAAAGCGAGAGAGTGGTCCATATGTTAAATATCTGTCTGGAGAGGCCATGTTTTGATTCTCGATTAGTCTCATGCAGTCAAGTGATGCGATTTTGCAGGTCAGAGTTCACCAAGCTTAAACTTTGCAACTCAGCAAACTGAAACCTGTCACACGAGCTTGTGTTTCCAGTCTGACACGTTCACATGTGTATGAATGGAAGTCTATGGGGAAAAAGAGCAGTGTCACCCAGGGGTGTTGCTAGACCTCATTTACTGGGACAAGTGCTCCGATAAAAAAACCAGTGCTCCAGTAAAAATCATCAGTGCTCCAGTAAAAATCACCAGTGCTCCAGTAAAAATCACCAGTGCTCCAGTAAAAATCACCAGTGCTCCAGTAAAAATCACCAGTGCTCCAGTAAAAATCACCAGTGCTCCAGTAAAAATAACCAGTGCTCCAGTAAAAATCACCAGTGCTCCAGTAAAAATCACCAGTGCTCCAGTATAAATCACCAGTGCTCCAGTATAAATCACCAGTGCTCCAGTATAAATCACCAGTGCTCCAGTAAAAATCACCAGTGCTCCAGTACATTATCAGTACTCCAGTAAAAATCGTCAGTGCACCAGTATAAATCATCAGTGCCATGAGTCGGGTCTAAGACAACACAACAGATGTTTCTATCAGTTCTATGTCTACAGACTATAGATGTTTAATAAAATTTGCTGTTCAGTTTGTTGTATTGTTTTCCAGTTACATTTAAGATTATCTTCCTTTATTTATTTAGAGTAATATTTGTATAATAACAACATTACTGTTATTTATTTATAATTACATATTCTTTTTACTATATATATATATATATATATATATATATGCGAGTCATGTTGTTACCCAAATCCCCCTATACCCTAAATAGTGCACTATGTGTAAGGTAACAGACATTGATAGTGGTATCCAAAACCATAGTGGACATTCTGAAGGGCACTCAATTGATCCCATAATGCACTGCAATAACGAGTCTACAACTCACGTACACTCAACGGCTAGAGTCTGACACTAGATGGTGTTCACAGCAGAATCCTGCAGTGTAAGTTTACAAGGGTGCATCTCAATCTGGACCCTTGTTCACCAGTCAGTGCACTGATCAGGGCATCATTGCGGCTTCAATCGCTAAATCCTTCCAGTGTTGTGCAAGTTACTTCCAGACTGTAATACATTAAAGATTACTTGTTACTGTTTTAAAAGTAATCCCTTACCTGACAGTATTACTGTCTCGAAATTGTTACATGACTCTTATTTTGCTTTTTAGTTACTTTCACCAAAATAAGTACAGAATAAGAACTTAACACTCTACCATGAGCAAATGTACTGCAGAGCATTTTACACCAGTAGGAAACGATCTTATGTAGCAGAACAGCTGTGACCTCTCCAGACTACTAACAATATAGTATATAATCGCCAACGTGAAGGCTCAAGACAATGCAAGAAAGG